ACGACTGCTCAACCGAAAGGGACTGGTCTACTATAGTAGGCCTGAGCCTATTGATGTCGTCCACTCTAATATTCAATGTCCACAATGATCTCGGGGAAGATACACTTAGTAGCATGCACAAGTTTCTCGATTATGGGCTACAGGCGCTCAATAATATCGAGTCTCCAGACGATGACCCTTTTGATGGGGACGGGAGTAAACCGTTTCACGATGTGGTCTGTATTTATTGTATAGATTTATATATTTTATTTCTATTACTATTTATTTTCTACAGTATATATAAGTTATCTATTCGTATATTCGTATAAATTATATTAATTTTTCAAACATTTTTTATTGACACTAATATAACCGTATACATTATTTAAAAATAATTCATTCAGTATATTTTTCAAACTGTAATACTCTATATAAATTAACAATTTAATCTAACAATTTAATAGATAAACTTATTTTGCGGGTTAAATCGTTATACATACAATATTTTATATTTTTAGTTTTAAAAATATTTTAAAGTAAATTATGAACAAATAATTTTACACCTTATCTCTAGATATTTATGATCCGGGACTGGACTCGACCCGACCCGCCCCACGGCCTAGAAGGGGGTCAAAACTACCGAAACGCCAAATTTGAGATCAAACCTAAACAAAAGCCTACCGCCAAAAGGTCCAGACAAATAATTATTGACAGTTTTGAGAACTACCAGTGCTTTCTGATGCCCAGCCCAGGGCTGGAGGCTATTAGCGGTGACTCGGGTTTTAATGGTTGCGCCAATCGGTTGACCGAAGAGTTTAACACAAGAGTCGACGAGTTTTGTAGGCATTTGTTGGGTAACGCCGACGCCATTAAAGTCAAGACTATTAATGGTAGACCAGTGCGTGGTGGTGAGCTAGCACAGTTTTTTGATGAATGTGTTAGGATTTTTAATAGCGATGAGATGCCCAGGGCCAGTGATAATGTCGAGGCCCGACATAGGGCAGCCGATATTCGCTTGATCAATCAGTTAAAGGTATTCATTTATATTTGGATTATCTTGATTGTAATTATATTTAATAATTAATTTTTGTATATCTATATTAATCAGGTACAGATTATATTATCTGTATAAGGAGTTATTAGTGATTTTATGTGAATTAATGTTGTAATGGTTACTAGGTATAATACACCTATTTTAATTAATTTTACTTTCCATTTCCTTGAATATTTTCTTGAGTAATAAATTAATTTAATTAACTTTATTAATAATTATACAAATACAAAATAAGTAAATTTTATGACAATTATACAATATAAAATGTACAGTACTAGATTAGCAACAAGCTACTATAGATATTAGGTATTTATTAATTATTTTGTTTAAAATATAATTATTTATCTATCATTTTAAATAAATAAGTATTGTTTTAATGAAATAATAATTACAATTGTATTGACAATAGGATGAGTACGTGAATGAGATGGCAATCCTATCTCTGGACAAACCATTCAATGGTCGGACACAACTCGGGGCCCAATCGGACGACTTGATAGACAGCATGAAAGCGAAGTTCAGTTTTCGTAAAAAATCTTCCGACGAGTCGGTGATACAGGAGTTGACAGCAATGTTAGCCCAGACACTGGACACGGCTTTCCAGTCGAGGTATTCGGATAACGAGAACCGGAGGCTTACGGCTACCAATGATATGATCACTGAATTGGTGGACGAGTTTAAGGCGGATATCAATGAACACATTACTCCCGATGACTACATCAGTGATTATACTTTCGCCAAAATAGTGGACACAAAACGGGAACACATTGTCAATAGGTTTGACACGTTTTGTGCGGTTGAGCCACAATTGTTTGACTCACATAAGCAAAGGGTATAAAAGTTTTATTAAGTTTTAATACAGTTTTATATTTATAATTTTTTTTGTTAATTTTGGTATCAGTTATTGAATCAAATCCAAAGCGAGTCCAATGTTTTTATCTCTAATAATAATCAACACAATCATCAGTTAATTAGCACTTATGACAACTGTGTGGCAATGCTTAAGTCCAGATATGACCAGGTATATTATAAGAGTAAACTTATATTAACTTTATACATACTTGTTAATACGGAATATTATTATAAATTAAATGTAAATAAACTAACTAATAAGAAAAAGTAATACTAGGTACTTTTTATTTATTTATATGCTAACTTAGTTACTTAAATAAAAATCTAACTTGTAAAAAATCTGAAGTATAAGTAACTATACCCTTGTAAAGTACTGTATTATACATTTTATTACTAATCACACAGAAAATGAACGACCTATACACTGACCCTGCTAAATACTACGACACCGAGGAACTGGAGGCACTAAGCCTGAGCATACAGCTTGACCTACAGGTGACTCTGGACGCCTGCGACGCAAACACCGACGTCATACCCATAACGCCCTACAAGGACTCCTTAGACACCTATATCCGGGACAAATTACAGGGCCTCCTCATGATGAACACCCAGCGTCGTGACCAGGATATCAGTGCCATGGAGACGGTTATGTCAAACCTGGTGAAGGAATACGAGGACGAACTGAACGCCTGGATCGAGGACTCGACAGATATAGACACTCGGGAGGAGTTCCTCAGACAGACCCGGGATATCAGCACCCGTCTGATTGCTGAAAACCGCCATAACCTGCGACTCGACGTACGAGAACTTAAAGACCGATTTCAGGCTACCGTTCCCGACCTGATCGACATATTCGCGGAGCACGTGGACAGCCGTCGCGCTACTGAAAAAGTATTGGCCGACCGTATCATCCAATGGTATAACCAGGAGATGGGCCGGGAGTACGACAACACAACATTCATAATACCGGAGCGCCTGGAGGGCATACACCGGGGACTGGTAGACACAGCCCTAAAAAAGTTTAAAAATCAACGTGGTCATATAACCAGCGACCGGTACGATGAGCTAGTCAGGGATATCCTAAAAACGGCGTACCAAACGCACCAGGATGATAACGACAAAAACGCACCTACCGTTCCCGCCGTGGGCATAGACCTTGGTACTACCAACTCCTGTGTGGGCTACTATAAGCCGGGTCGTCAAAACGCTGGACAGGTAGTCATATTCAAGAACCGGCACAACTCGGAGGTGACCCCCAGTTGCGTGGAGTTCCGCGACAATAGTGAGCACCCGGTGGTGGGTCAGGAGGCTAAGGATAACCGACTTGCGAACCCCCGGAATATCATATTCAGCGCCAAACGACTCATCGGTCGCAAGTATGATGAGCCTGAGGTGGACAGGGATTTCGTGGCCCCCGACACTAAGCTCTACCCCTTCCAAGTGGTAGACGTGGGTGACAATGACGCGGGTGTAGAGGTCGAGGTGGACGGTATGGTCGCCCAGTTTTTGCCGGAAGAGGTGTCGGCCCACGTGCTCAGGAAGATGAAGGAGGTGGCGGAGGAGAAGCTAGGTTTCCCCATACAGAATGTGGTGATAACTGTGCCTGCTTACTTCATGGATGCCCAGAAGGAGGCCACTAAAAGTGCGGGGGTTATGGCCGGCCTTAATGTGCTAAAGATTATCAATGAGCCCACGGCCGCCGCACTGGCCTATCAGTTGGACAGGTTTGAGGGGATTGAGGCCCGGTATGTGAACATGTTTACTGTCTGTACTAGTTTAATAAATGTTTATTAGAATTTAGTTCAAATTAATCTCAATAATGATATTTAATTTTAGATTTTAGTATACGATAATTCTTAAACAAGCTTATTTTAGTATTTTTATGGTGAATTAGTACAAATTATAAACTATACTAGCACATGTTTTATTAATTATACAATTTTAAATTAAACCTTAATGTCCAGGAAAGTGCTGATATACGATTTTGGTGGAGGGACATTCGACGTGGCTGTACTCAAGCTGGAAAAGGGTAAGGTGGAGGTGTGCGCGTTTGGTGGGGACAACCATTTGGGCGGTGATAACCTGGACAACAATGTCATCAACTATTGCCTCCAAGAGTTCTTTGCACAGACGGGTATCCTAATAGACAGGACCAGTGCTGAAGGGGAACGGGCTCTCAGGCTATTGAGGTATTCCTGCGAACGGGAGAAGTGGTTACTGTCGGAGGCCATGTCGGCCAACATTTCCGTCGACAATATAGTCAATGGACAGCACCTGGAGGTCAGACTCACGCGCGAGAAGTTTGAAGAGCTTAATGAACACGAGTTTCAACGGACTATCGATTGCGTGGAGGATGTGCTGAACGGCGCCGGTATGTCAGTCGATGACATCGATGATATTGTTCTGGTAGGCGGGTCTACCCATATACCAAAGGTTAGGGAAATGATCAAGGACCATTTTAAGGGCAAACAACCCTCGTCCAGAGTCAACCCATTACAGGCGGTGGCTGAAGGTGCCGCTATCCAGGTCAGTCTGTTTTTGTTATTAAGTTTGCTAAATTAAATTGTTTTTACAATAGTCGTACAGTATAATATAATATAAGTAATTAGAAATATGCCATTTATTCATTTCGCTCATTATCCTAGATATAATTTAATTGTTGCATGTTATTAAAAACGTGTTAAGTATTATATTTTCACATAAATGAGGTAAAATAATGTGAAAATGATTAGCAAATTGAAAACAAAACAATAAAAAACAGGTTGAGCATATAATTTTGCATACTCTATGTTACAAAAGCGATAACAAGATATTCTCTAGAAAAATAAATATCGAAATATTTATCAATTTTATAACCCAGGCCGCTATACTAAACGGAAATCAAGCGCAAAAGCACCGGAACCTCCGCGTACTGGACGTCACCCCACACACCATAGGCGTCAAGACTGCCGGTGACGTGATGTCGCCCATAATCCCGGCCCGGTCTGCGGTCTGCACAACGTTTACTAAACAATACAAGACTATTGTCGATAATCAGCCTGAGATAGAGGTGGAGGTGTATGAGGGCGAGGATACCGTGGCCTCCCGTAACAACCTGTTGGGCAAGTTTATGGTGACAAACATACCGCCCGCGGAGGCCGGGAGGGAAACCATATCAGTCATGCTATGTGTCAATGATGACGGGATATTGAAGGTTAGGGCTGAGGTGCTGTCGAAGGGAACGGTACACGAGATTGAGGTGACGGAGCATAAGGGACGGCTTAGTATGGAGGAGCTGCTGAGGCGCCGGCATTGAGCACCGGGAGGCTAGGGTTTCAGTGATATTATTGCTATTTTGTGATTTATAATTAATTTTAAATATTGAGTTTTATATTATATGTATGGTTAGTATTTAACCATGGTAAACTATACTATAATTAAATGAATTCATTTAAATTGTCTGAATTATTTGCATTCATTATATAATAGATCTGTTGATAAATTTTTAAAATATTAATTATAACTTATGTAATAAATAAATATTTTATTTGAATTCCTTAATAAAATATGATATTGTAAATAATCACTGCCAATATTTTTAATTTTAAATTTATTAATTGATATAATACTGTGATTTTATTGGTAATTTACAATATAGCAATTTAATATATTTTACTTTGTGGATAAATAATTTACCGAATTAATAAAGGTTATTCATAATGGATGTTCTCGGTTTTGCAAATGGCAGATTGGTATTGCTAGGTGAATTGGCATGAATAACAAACATTTTACACAAAAATATAAAAATTTGATTGCTCCTGGTCACCGAAAAACACGAAAAACCATTTGGCTGTTTAATTTTTGATGAATACTAATTTTAATCATAAAATATTAAAACAATTTCAGTGGCTCATTGGTAATGTGTCGCACACTTAACATTTTGTACCCGGGTTCTATTCCACTTTCAGTTCAATTATTTTTTCCTTTATTTTTTGCTAAATTTGGATAAATTTAATGTTATTTTTAATTATTTTAATGTAGTATATAATTATTATTACAAAATATACAATTAAAGTACCAAAATATAATAACCAAGGTAATTTAAAGGTAATTTATATTATTGGTTTGTT